CGAGGGGGGAGAAGGAGGAGTATGAGACCGACGCGGAAGAAGAAGAGGACGAGGAAGAGGAGGAGGAAGACGAGGAGGGGGAGGAAGCCGAGGAGGAGGATGAGGAAGGTGCGGAGGAGCAGGAGACGGTGGAGGAGAGCAAGGAACGCTGCGAGACGGAGCTGAATAACTACTTCGGCGTCACGTACGCGCGGCGGACGCGGGCGGCGTGTCGCATTCAATGTGCGTGGCGCTGCAGTCGTGCCCGCATAGCGCTGCGGCAGCGGCAGCAGATACTCTACCGCCAGGTGTACCGCAAGCAGAAGGCGGCTGCCATGTGCATTGAGGGCTTCTTCAGTTGCGTCGTCGAGCAGCGCAAGCTGCAACGGCGGCGTGAGCGCTGTGCCGCTCTGGTGGAGGAGCGCGTCGCGTTCGAGGTCCGGCTCTTCGAGAGCGTCCTCGTCATTGCACGCTACGCCGTCGTGTTCCTGCGCCGCCGTCGACGCGAGCGGGAACTGTGCAAGCTCCTGGCGCTGCGCAGCGTGGAGGAGCTGCGGGTACGTGAAGCCGCGGCGATGATTGTGGCGCGCTGGTGGCGCATCATTCCTGAACGCAAGGCGTACTGGCGGCGGCGCACACGCGAGGTCGTGGAGCAGCGGCGGCTGGTAGAGCTGCAGCGTCAGCGGAATGACGCTGCCACACGCATTCAGAGCCGCTTTAGAGGCCTGCTGGGCCGCCGCGAAGCAGGAGAAGAGCGGCGGCGGCGCGTGGAGGAGCACCGCAGCCGTCAGCGGTGCCTGCACGACAGCACCGACCTTGTCCGACTCTGCCTGCAGGAGTACACACGGCGCTGCAGGCGACTTGAGCGCGAGGCGCAGCGGGCTGTCGTGCAGCGTAACGAGGCTGCTGCCATCATACAGACTGGATGGAAGGCGGCACTGAAGCGGCAGATGCTGCACAATGTCCTGACACGCTGTCGCCGCATTGTGCGGGCGGTGCTTGCGATACAGCGCGCGTACCGCCGCTTCTGCGCGGGGCGCGAGATACGCTACCTGCGCAAGGTGCAGCTGGCCATGAACCAGGACCGCCTGGACAACGAGTACCGAGAGTTCCGCGCCACGCTAACGCTGCAGTGCTTCGCCCGCATCGTACTTGCCAAGCGTGCGGCGCGGCACCGCCGTGCTGCCATCGGCCGTGGGTTCTTCTTTGCGGCGGTGACAATACAGAGCATGTGCCGCGGTGCCACGGCGCGCATGCAGCTCGGCTACGCACGTGAGTTGCAGCGGCAGGCCGCTGCGCAGCTGCTGCAGCTCGTGCAGGCGCAGAAGGAGCGGGTGGTGGCCGTCACTGCCGCGTTCCTGCACGCACGCGAGAGCTGCTACCTGACCGAGTGCCGCCGCTGCCGTCGGCTGACGGAGAAGCTGTACATGCGCCGCTACGTACGGCGAGAGCTGCTGCGCGACAAATCCGCAACTATCATTCAGCGCGCTGTGCGCCGCTGGATCGCACGCCGGCGGCAGCGCGAAGTGGAGGAGAAGGCGTGCGCGATGCGTGCACTCGTCCTCGCTTGCGTGGTGCGCATTCAGTCCGTGATGCGCGGCTTCCTTGCGCGCCAGCAGTACCGTCTCCGCCGCTATCTGTCGCAGCAGCAGGAACGGCGCCGGCGCGACATGGAGGAGGTGATGGTGCAGCTGTGGATAGACGAGTGGCGGGCGGCCATACTGCAGTGCGAGGGCGATCGCCGGCGTATTGAAACGTTGGAGACACGGAAGCGCGAGATGCTCGAGTATTGCTGTAAAATGGACGCAAAGGCTGCGGCCGCAGCTGTGGCAATGGTGATGACGGACAGCGATGACGAGGAGGCGTTAAGCCTCTCCACGTACAGGGATGACCTATAGACTGCGGAATCCCCTCCACGTGGGAGTCTGTATGCGTTCGTGTGTATTGCGCTACCGTTGTCGGTGTCGTTGATATGGTGGTGTGGAGATGCGCTGGTTTTCATTCAGCGTTCATGTACGTATATAGTCTGCGGTATACCTTTTTTTAGTCTGCGCAGTATTGTTTCTGTGTGTCTGTGCGTGTGTGTGTGTGTAAGGATTTTTTTTTGGTGTTTTGGTCTTGTTTGACTTGTCACATGTACGATAAGCAGTTACGGTTGCGCGGGGGACGAGTGGCGTGGGGGTGCAGCCTCCCCACGCAACACACACACACACGCCGCAGCTGCTGGTGGTGGTATATTCTGTGCGGTGCTTCAGCGTCAGCAGCGCTGCCCGGGCACTACGGCCCCTCTTTGCCTCATCCATTCACCCATCCATCTCTCTCTCTCTCTCTCACACACACACACGGTTGCCATCGCTTGTCACCGCCACGCTGCCCTGTAGCGAGGTGGCAAAGGGAAGTGAGAAAGGAAAGGGAGAGAATTAAAAACAAGAAAAAAGAAAAATACGAAGGGTGAATAGCGGAACAAGGCGCGACCGACGTGGCAGCCACGACAAGGGCGAGGATTGAATTTACAGGCGAAAGGGAAGAGGAGACTTGTAGCATACGATTGGCAGTTAACGTGGGAGCAAGGGAAACGTCGGGTGCCGCGGCGCAGGAGGAGCAGGAGCAAGAAGGGCCCAAAGGAAGTCACAGAAAGGTGCACGCACGAGTGAGGGAGGTACAGGCACATTACAAGAAGTGGGAAGGCGACGCTGCACACAAGCCAGGAAGACAGCGAGAAGCAGCAGCAGCAGCAGCAAGAAAAAAAAGGGAAAAGAGGCGAGTGGAAGGTGAAAAACCACGCGGTCATCAATTGGCGTCCGTGCGTAAGTAAGATCCGTAGGGTGAAGGAGGCGTCTGCGTGGATCGCCATCAGTCTGGGCGAGTGAGTGTTGTCATATATATATATATATATATAGCGGGAGACAGAGAGAGAGAGCGAGCGTGTGTGTGCGTGGGAAAGAGAGAGAGAGGTACATTACGACGACGACAAGCTGAGGAGAAACCAATACACTGCTCCTTTGTCCGTGTGTGTGGAGGAGGAGGAGGAAGAGGAAGAGTGTTACGGACAGACACATTGGAATTAGGGGCACACCGACACGATGGTGCCAGTAGAGACTAGGAGGCCGCCGCCACAGCAGCAGAAGCGGGAGATGGTGGGGAATAGAAAAGCGGACGACGGAGTGGTGCCGCGGTGCAGCAACACCGCAGGCGCCGCTTCGGGGGCAAGTTTTCCTTCTGACACCTGCCGCCACACAACTAGCAGCAGTGCCTCTCTCCAAAAGCCCCAGATGCAGGAAGAAGGCAAACAACAACACGAAAAGAAACAAGAGTTAACAGAGCTCCGTGCGGCAGCGACGGAAGTAGCAGCAAAGCCAGTCACGTCGTCTTCCTCAACTCTGCCAATCACCAGACCCATCGTTTTAGTCAGTACCAATCGGGGAGTTTGTGACTCCTCCACATCCTCCGCGGGATCCTGCACACCCGGCGATCTCCGCGCCGTTGAGGAGGAGTTGAAGGAGCTACTAAGCGGGTACCACCGACTTGTGGGAAGTGCTCCTGTTTTCTGTGAGGTGCCTGGAGCAATTATACCCTCACCAAAAACAGCAGCAGTAGCAGGCACGGACGTTACGCCGTCGCCGCTCCCGAATGTCGTGAACACCCCTCCCCTAGTTGCTGCGATGCGGAGAACCGGAAATAGTCAGAGTAACCCCGATAGTAGCCGTGAAAGCGGCGGTGCGTGGCGCAGTGGCGGTGCTGGTGGTTACAACCGACATGGTCACTCCGTCGCCTCGCTGCCTGTCTCAAGCGTTCATGGCGAGCATTCCACTGAAGCGAATACACCGACGCCGTGTGTGCAGATGCCGCAAAATCTCCGCCCCGTGCGAAGTGGTGGTGGCAGTAGCAGCAGTAGCAGTGCTGTGGAAGGAGACTCAGGTGTGCATTCAACAGCAGCAACAGCACCATCGTGTGCCGCTCTCCCCTCCGCACGTGCGGCGAGTCCAGTTGATCTCTTTGCTGAGGCTCTCACAGAGGATCACCTCAACCGTTCCTTTGAGATGCGGTGGAAGCAGCAGCTTCGCGTCGGTTCCCCCTCGCTGCACGTGGTGCCGAACCACATGGGTGACCGGCTCGCGCTGGACACGAGCCCGCTGCTGGACGATGGCACGGGTTACCCCGCGATGCGACGCGAGGCGGGCTCGCCAGTGCCGCCGTTCATCAACTGCAACCTCCACTCCCTCGACAACTGTGGGCTGGCAGGGCACGACACGCGCACGTACGCGGCGTACCGCTACCAGGCGGGCACGCCGTCCGCGCTCAACAAGACGTCGCCATTAGACGTCGTCGGAAGCAGCAAAGATGCGGCTGAAAGAGAGCAGTTGGGCGTTGCTCCTGATCACGGAGACGGAGACGGTGCACCAAGGAAGATTGTCACTTCCGAATTGGAGCAGAAGCCGCTGACGACGCTACACAGTCGTCATCACCGGAAGCCGCAGCGGCGCATTGCGTCACGTCGTCATCATCATGGGGGGATTGATAGCACAACGCCGGAGATCGCCACAAGTGCGCGGCGGACGGAGGACCCGTCCACACGCAGCGGGGCGGCGAGCTGCAGCAGAATGGCCGCAGCGACTTCACATGGGGAAGCGGGTGCCTGGTATAACCTCATTAAGGGCATGCGGGGCACAGATCTAGAGGGTGATGGCACGTATTCAGGAGAGTTTTCCGCACCGATGGTAAATACAGCGGTGCCGAACAACCATAATGAGCAACAGCAGCAACATCCGTTGCGCCATTTCGTTATGGGTCCCCGCAACGGTGGACTTCAGAGACGCCATCAAGATGCAGTCACTCGCTTTCACGCCATGGTGGAACGCCGTGTGGCGGCGTTGGAGTCGGGCAGCAGCGAAGCTGGGGCGTTACCTGCCTTTGCGGACTCTCTGGTTGGCGCCGCCATCAAGGACTTGTGCCCGGTCGTCAAGCGGCGCCAGGCCCAGCTGAAGGAGTCCCAACACGCTGAGGCAGCAGCGGCGGCTGCAGCGGATGCGTCACTGACGCGTAATACTATTCGTGGCAGCATGGGAACAGTCACATCGACTCCCAGCACGACACCAACGCCGAGCTCGAATGTGCGCAGCTCGCGTGACTCGTACGCTGTTGCCTACCACAACAGCCGCCCCTCACTTGTGCGGTCATGCCCGGATGTGGGGCAGGGCGGCGTCGCCACCGGCGGGACCCCACAGCGGCGGCACTTGTCGCAACGCCGCGATCGCCACTCTCGACGTGAATCGCACGCGCACTGACTAGTACAACCAAAACAAAGAAAAGGCCCGGGAATAAGATTGCCGATGGGGAGGAGTGCCGTAGAGGGAACGAGAGACGGAGAAGAGGATGGGTGTGAGCGTGGGCCCCTTTCTGCCATGGATGACTCGAAGTGAGGAGGTGGGGCGTGTGCGGAGGGCGTCTGGTGTTATTGCAGCTGTTTATAAGCGACACACAAACACCGAAGAAGAAAAAGAAAAAGAAAACAAAAAAAAGGCTAAAGGAAAAAAAGGAATGGGAAATTTTTTGTCTTTGGTTCGGTTTCCTCATTTNGGGCGTGTGCGGAGGGCGTCTGGTGTTATTGCAGCTGTTTATAAGCGACACACAAACACCGAAGAAGAAAAAGAAAAAGAAAAAAAAAAGGCTAAAGGAAAAAAAGGAATGGGAAATTTTTTGTCTTTGGTTCGGTTTCCTCATTTGTTCGACTGTGGGCTGTTTCTGGCGTGTGGATCTTTTCTTTTTCGGTTCTTTCGCAACGCAGTGCGTCTTATACATTCGGCCCGCAGGTTTGTGTGTGTGTGTAGGGGAGAAGGCGCAACAAATGTACCCCGATTACACATGTATGTTGTTTTTTTTTTTTGGTGGGGGGGGGGGGGGGTCTTTTNTCTTTTCTTGTTGTTGTTTTTTGTTTTGCGTTCGTTCGGTGCGTTGCGGGCATTCTTTTGTGTGTGGGCGTCGTGTGGCGGTCACGCGCGGACGGAATGAGGGGGCTTGGAGGGGGCGGGCGGCAGTCAGCGAGGCGGGAAACACACACACACAGAGAGAGAGAGAGAGAGACGTGGCGAAGAGAGGCAGACAAGACAGGAAGGATTGGTGCTTGTTTTGTGTACGTGTATGTGTGGGTGGGTGTGTGGTGTTGATGTTCTTGGGCGTGTATCGCTCTGCGTTTGGGTGCGTGATTCTTCCTGGATGTGTCTCCGCTCTTTTTTTTTTGTCTTCTTCCTTCATTGGTGCCTTTTTTTTTTTGCNGCGCTGTGGCGTCTTACGGTTGCTCGTCTCCCCTCTCGCTGTGCCCTGCGCGGGCGACGCGACTGCCACCCTCTGCCGTGCGAGAGGGAGGGGGAGGCGGGGGTGCAGAGAGGGAGGAGGTGAGGGGGCGTGTGGGCGGCGTGGCGAGCACCGTGTGTGTGTGTGTGTGTCTCCCCGCACTTGTGTTGGGGGCACAGCACTGCTGGCGTGCACGCACACAGGGTGCGCCTGTGCGTTTTCAGCGAAGAGGAATGATAAATTGCGAAAGAAAGAATAAGAAAGAACAGAACCCCTCGAGGCTATGTTAGTGATGTTCTCTTCGCTCTCGTTTTTTTTTTTTTTT